AGGCGTCAGCGCCAGCACCAGTAGCACTACACTTCTTGCCGAGATTGAGGGAATATGAGGCCAGTGCGGGCTTTAATCAGCGTCTTTTCTGACCAACTTAACATTCAGTTACAGTACCAGCAAATGCTATCACTCAGCTACACCCTAGTAAGTAGTATTAGAAGTAGCAGTACCAATCCTGGCTTGCTAAAGTCTGGCTAGACACCTACTGTAGGTGAGTGAGAGTAGACAGTGCAGTAGTATCCACGTAAAGTCTAATGTCAGTAAAGGTTAAGTAAGGCGGTGTTTCTGGCTGCATCTGGAGAAAGTGGCTCACGCCTGATCCCCTGCACGGTCATCTCGACTTTGTCTTGTCACTGTTCTCACACGGAGTGAGAGTTTAGAGTGGGATAGAGAGGGCGGCCACTCTACTGTCACTGTCACTAAATAAAATTACGAAACCAAAAACGAATCTAAAACTAACATAAAATAAATAAAGCTGCATAATAAAATTAAAAGCAGAGTAAAAATAACCAGAAAAACACACACTGTCAACAGAACTTATTCTTAGTTCTTAGGGGGGGGATCCTTGGCCTAAAAGTGCAAAGGAACTGACCGGATACATTCGGAGTAAGAAGGTTGGTAGATGCGGTTGATAGTAAAAGATCTCTACTTTCATCCGGCAGGGAGGAATTTTCAAACGGCCGGAGTATTGCACTCTCCAGAGCTTCCTTTTTTAGGCCGTGTGTCATGCCATTTACTTCTAAGCCGCCGGCGGAGGCCACCTTCTCGGCCAGACTTGCGGGCAAGCAGTACTCGGCTTCATCCAACTTCAGATCACCATCCGAGTCCACCTGCTTAGTGCACTGAGATCGGGAGCGGGAGGAAAGGACAAAGGGTATACAAACGAACAGCAACCAGGACAAAATATGTATACAGTGTGGCGAGGCTTTCATGCAAAATTATGATTGAAATTGGACTTGGTACCTGGGAATATATTTGTTCGCGTTATTTTGATCTAATGAGTGTAATTAATCCTGACAAAACCTTTTAATAAGGAAAACTACCTGCGTAGATTAGTATATTGATGGTCAAAGGCCTTATTTTTTTCAAAATCAGTAGCCTGATATCGGAAACATTTCCTACGGAAGGTGTAGTCTTAGGCGAAGAAAATCATGCAAAGCCAAGTTCAAGGAATCCCCTTGTTTTTTTTATAAATAGGGAACAATTGAATTTTTAAAAAGTATTTTTGCCAATTTCTGAAACGTATTAAGAAACTAGGTGTTGTTTAACCGCATCAATGATTTGGGACAGTAAACAAACCTGCATATATACTATCGCGGACATGAAGGTAAATGGTAATCTTATTAAATCTATAGCACGAAAAAGATACTTTTTGTACAATATAATTTCCGCTTATGTGTAATTAAGAAACTGAGCAGACAGAATATTTGCAATTTTTGCAAAACCTTAGTATATATTCAACCACTTTTTATGCGTTCGTAAGCTAAGAGCAGGGCCGACAAGTAATCTCGTATTGTGACAAATACTCCAATATACAGTGAAACGAAATTCCTGTCCTTTCCTGCTAAAAATGTATCTATCATTTCCAGGTCAATTAAAAAACTAGTCAGAATTCGCCATTTTTCTCTTGAAATTATCCTGGAAAAAGGTAACATCCTCAGGTCCTCGTCAGCTGAAATCTAACTGATGTAGATTCCTGAGCAGATTACCTACTACTAGTAGTTTTATTTTAATCTGAGGCACAATAATATCTGACTTATTTTTGTAGGCGTCCTTTTTGCTCGACAATGTGCTTGGGTAATTTGGCAATTTTATAAAAATTGTGCATGTTGCCATCTTCAAAAGAAGCAATATTCAAAAATGCATTTTGGCGAAGGCATTCAATGGACATTCTGTTTTAAAGTTTCCCATATAAACGCCGAACAGCATCTGAAATTAAACTTTTTCTGACAGAGGCGTGATTGACTGAAAAAATAAGGATCAGCGTAGTTAGTAACAGCTGTCGATGTACAGACGGAGTCATGACACTTTGCGTATCCAATTAACTTTCCTGCTCTGAGCGGGGAATTGTCGATGTAGCACTATTCACCTTTTCACCGTGCCCCAAAGAAGGGAAAGAAGATGGTACGGGGACATTGACCATTTTATTTTGTGACTGATGTTTCGGACACTCAAAGGGTGGTGAAAACGATAAGATATCCGGAACTCAAACTTTCACAAATATTCACTATTAACGTTTAATGTGACGCAAAAAAGAACCTAGACTATTAGCGCCATTTGCGTTGGGTGAGATCTACTTGTCTCCCAGCTCGAAGAAGAGTGACGTCGTGGAAGTACCAAGTTCACTGAAATTGATAGGTCAACAGGATAATTTACTACTCCTGGCTGACTTAAACGCTCGTAACATCTACTTAAAAACTGCCATGAGAAAGGCTGCAGCCATATTGTACGATAATAAACACTGGCATCTGATTGATTGACAACGTTCTGGTCTTATAGACCTTCATTCGTTTTGGCTTCGCAGATTACAGAATGGGCTATTTAAACTTCCAAACAGTCGTACCTTTAATGCCTTTTCTACCCTGAAGCAACTTTACCACTCCCGGCGCAAAAGTCAGTGAGATGCCATTTTATTTCTTCCGTTAACACGCATAGTCAATTATCGTCGGTTTTATTTCTGCGAAAAAAAATTCCCATTTTACGATTATAAAGTCGTATTGGAAAGCAATTGTTTTCGGTTATTCATCATCAGGCCGGTAGAAGACGTGGGGAATGAAAATGGTCAGTTAACTGCAACCTTTATATGATTGTCAGATTGGGGAGGAAAGGGGTTAGTGGGTGGACGAGCGTAATTAGGTATCTGGGTTTTCCTTCGTCTCCTGAATGCGGGCGCCAGTGCGGATAGGACGTTGGTTGCGATGCTCAGAGAAGACAGGGGTGATGTTCTCACGGTCAGCGGGTTGAGGTCTGTATATCAGCCGCGCAGCTTGC